AGTGGGCGTGGCTACGCCCATTTTCCAAAAATTTATAATATTCTTATTCGTCTGAAAATTATTGTAAATATCAAGTTTGAGTGAATTATATTCAGTAGTTACTAAAATATCGCAGTTTTCGTATTTCTGGAAATTACCGTTATATGGGAAGTGGGCGTGGTTAAAGTCCGATTTCGCCCATTTTCAATACCAACCTACCTTGGATTAAGGGAAACCTACATACCAAATTTCGTTGANATGGCTTAATCGATTTCCTTTTTCATCCTGATCATTTATCTATATCTATCTCGATTCGTTTTGGCTGTTACAAACAACCGTTATGTGAACAAAATTAATATACCCTTGTGCACAAGTGCGCTCGGGTATAAAAATGGTTGGCAAAGAAAAAAGTTTGGACGCCCACAACCTACAACTTCTCTTATAATAAGGCCGAAAAGTTTAAGTTTTTGCTTAGAATTGCTTATTTTGCTTATTCAGGGTCTCCAAGCTTAATTTTAACGATCATGCTTATTTTGCGTATTTCAATGTATAAAGCTAAGTACGGACCTTTTAAAAAAACGGTCAAGATATAAATTAATATTATTTCGTGTGTGTGAATAGTAGTGTCCAAGGAGTTTTGACATCTGATATTTTACAGCCTGATGTGTCACTTTTTCCTTCCGAAATAATGAAACTAGCATATACATATTTCTGTATTTGGGTATTTTGTACTCTTCACAAACCAACTTTAAGCTAACCACAGTAGAAAGCGTAGCAAATTTCTTAAGAAAATTTGGCTCAATAAATTTTTCTTGAACATTTCTTTGGCGATGTTTACAAATAATAACATAAAAACAAATTATAATTTAAATTAAAAGTAAATAAATATTTACGTGGAAGATTTTTACATAGTATTCCTTATGTGCATACATATCGTCGTTTAAAATACAAAACCGTGTATCAAGATAACGCAAAACCGTGTATGTGACGTTGCATAAATTACTTTCTAGAGAGTAAAATCAATCATATTTCAAAACGGTTCTCTTTTTATTTATAAATCAATCGCACTTCTTGCTAGTATATTTCAGGACGAATGGATAAGGCTTGAGCCAAGAGCTTCGGTAAGAAAATCCAATTTTTGGCAGCCAATGTCAGTTACGCGGTTTTGCAGAATGACGATACGCGGTTTTGTACTTTAAACGACGATATGCATATACTACTTTCATGTATATAACAATTTTAGAATGAATTTCGAGTGTGCCAATAAAACTTTAAAAATGGAATTTTAGTTTCTCAAATAATAGTCGCCTTTTACTCAATGCAAATTTTTTTTTTTTGGTGACACACTAGTTTTATTGCAATAGATTCGTTCGTTTTGGCAAGAATAATATTTTCGCCGTTTAATTTTGGCATTTTGAAGCATATTCAATTACTAGAATTAAAAAAATCTTAAAATTTCAAAAGTAACAAAATAGCTGCTACATATATTCTGCATATTGCTATTGCTACACTCTTGAAACTTCACAAATATGTTGTACTTGATGCCAATGTCAAGTGCCTCTAATATCAACACTCTATTTGAAAACTGCCCAAAGTAACAATGAAAAAATGGGGCACCGAAATTGCGCATATGGAAACTGTGCATTTAGACGTTATTTCGGTTTCAACCGAAACGGTGCATGTATGCTTTTGCCATATGCATTATTTCGGTTTTAAACGAAAGTATGTATATGGGTGTTTCCATGGTTATGCACGCGACATTTGTACACGTTTATTTGCGTTTGAATGTTGTAAAAATAGAAATATAATGGAAAGAAGTCACATCTTTTAGGATCGCTTCATTGCATGTGATGAGTTTTTTCCAAAAAGTATAAATATTGGAAGATTGAGCACTGGGTACCCAAGTTACAGTCAATCAAAGTTGACTTACGCACGTGACAAAAATGGAAGTTGCTTTTAGAACCGGGAGAAAAAATGCGAAAGTAAGCGAATTGTAGGAGATTTTTGTTCCGGTAAATTTTTTTTTATAAAGGTTAATAATGGAGCTTCATAATAATGTTTGCTTCGAAAACAGCTGATCAAGGGTTGGCTTAAAAAAAAAAAAAGTTCACATGCATATCTATACTATTTGCGTGTACATATGTATGTATGCATGAATGCATGTTTACAACCAAATAGATACATAAATAAAACATTACAAAAAGTTTGCTTTTATACACATCGTTATCTTAATTCGCAAAGGCCCTAACCAACACTTTTTCGAAACTGCGTTTTGTTTACAGATTTTGGTAGGATGTATTAAAATACACCTTTAATCAAAATTTTAAAGTTTTTGCACCAAAAACGTAGGGAGTTAAATGCCACTTTTTAAAAAGCTCTACCTCTTTTTGGTACTCTGTTTATAGTGTTTTTTTTTGCTTCTCCTGTAAAATAAAAAATTGTTTGGTTAGAGCCTTTGTGAATTAACAAGCAAGGAGCTGTTTTTTTAAGTGTAACTTTTTTCCCTCGCCCCAAAAAAAAAACGCTAAAGCATCCTTCTTATTTAGGCGAAAAAGTATGAAAGTAGTAATTTTTTCAGGTACCCTGAAATTGTGCATATGGAAACTTTGCATACGAAATAATGCATACGAAAAAAAAACCGAAATAATGCATATATGCACAGTTTCGGTTTAAAACCGAAATAATGCATATGAAAAAACCCGAAATGATGCATATATGCACAGTTTCGGTTGAAAACCGAAATATCGCATATGGGTGTTTCCAGCGGAAGGTCCACCACGACAAAAAAAATAAAAGTTTTATATCTAACGTATTTACCGGCCGATTTGTCTGCTTTTTGAAATATATACTGGCTATGTAAGAAGAATCATGTTTGCATAAATTGGTCTTCCTAGGTGGTGCCAAGGTCGAGATATTTCGAAAAACTGTATTTATGGTCCGATTTGGTTCGAATTTGGCGCATGTGGTTGAAACATAATAAATCATAGATTTCTAATAAATTGACCCTGAATTGGCGCTGAAGTCAAAATATAAAGTATACTCTACATAAAATACATGTTTTATTTGCGTTGAAAATTCATTTAAAAGCAATATTAACAAAAATATAACGATGGAAATTTATGTTTCACACTTGGTGTTGTAAAAGAGAATTGAAACAATTTGCATTAATTCAAAAAACTCTAAAAACAACTAGAATTGCTCCAAATCATATCAAAATAAGTTTCATCAAAATAGCCTTCCACAATTCGCAGAGTTTTGCGATTTTGTAAGAAAAGAAAAAATCAACTTCCATTTTTTGTCACGTAACGAACCTCTCTTTAAATGCTTATATTTCAGGACCAAGCAGTTCGATTGATTTAATTTTTCGGTTAAATATAGAGCTAATTACGTGCTATACAATGGCTCAAAAAAGTTAAAGAAAACAAATGGTATTCCTTTTTTGTATCACATTGAAATCGTACGACTGTCACGTGCGCCACCATGGGAATGCCCATATGAGAAAAAGAGTAATGCATCCATGCACAGTTTCGACTCAAAACCGAAATAGTGCATAAATGAAAACGAACTTCTTTCTGCGTAGGCGGCCTTCGGCCGCGATTAGGGATTATAACCCTTACTAAGAAGATCTCTCCTTTCTTTGTTGCCGGAAAAGGGGACCGGAAGTATTTTTGCGCAGAACTTCTTTCTGCGTAGGCGGCCTTCGGCCGCGCTTAGGGATTAAAACCCTTACTAAGTAGAAGTAAATAATTGATATTAGAAAAAAACGAAATTATCCATATGCACACTTTCGTTAGAAAACTGAAATAATGCATAAATAAAAACCGAAATAATGCATATGAGAAAATATCGAAATTATGCATATAAAATATAATTTGGTGCCTATATATTTTTTAACCAAAATGGAAGAAAATGTTAATTGGAGCTATTGGAGAAAAGTTAATGATCGCTTAATATTAAGCTATACTATAGCGCCATTATCAGATTTGTTACATGAACTGGAAATTCAGCTGCCAGCTTTTAAACTTCATTATTTTATAAAGCGCGACCAGGAAAAATATTTCAAGGAAAAAAAGAACAATTTACGTGATGATGAATTAATTTTGCAAATCGATTTTGCAGAAAACTATCGGTTGATCAATCAGAATGAGGTCCAAGAAGCTCACTTCAGCTACCAACAAGTTACTAT